CGTGAAAGTTTTTCGCGGCTAAGTAAGTTGTTGACTCGGGAGCCTGAAAAGCTAGAAAGCTGAAAATTAAGGGATAGCTTTCTCACTGACCGGTCTCAGTCCTTTTAGCTAGAAGCATCTACCGGGAAAACAAAGCCATTAGCGACAAAAACCTGCGGAGAACTGTGCAAAAAACGCATTTCCGTGCTGGCAGACGGCGCGCTGGCCTCTTAGTTTTAAACTGTATGGTTACTTTCAGGGACGCATTACCGGACCTGGTGTTTGCGATGGTACCAGAGCAGGAATGGGCTCTTCTTGTTGGTGACTTGTTATGTGGCATTGCAGGTCTTGTTGCTCTTGGATTCATCCTTATATTTCATCGCTATCGTTGCATCATTATACGACGATTATTATTCACGATAACTGTTCTTTATACATTTCGTGCTATTTGCCTTGCTGTTACGCATATTCCAGCAAGTTATGAAAATAATCATCAGTTAGTTTCAGTGCCGAAAATACTGGTTAAAAATTATCTTTTTTTGTAGTTTAACAGCAAAAATTATTCTTAGGACCCCCTCCTGCGGGGTGCAATGAAAATGGGGGAAAATTTTAACAGTTATTCTAAAACTTACTGACTAGCACTTGTATGAAATTTGAAAACTGATATTTCGAAAGTGAGAAAATTTGTTTGCGGAAATAAATCGAATCGCTTGAAAATTTCGGATCCCGCTAGGTTAAATTCAGCCTTCGCATACGGCCGGGTCTTATTTACAGTCACATGAAACTACTGGCGCTAGAAACACTAACTCGAGAGCCACAAAAGATAGGAAGCTGAAAAAGGAGAATCTAGCGCACGCTTGCTGTTAAGAATATTTACTGCTTTACAGCTTAGCTTACACAAAAGTACTCGTAATGTTGTCTGGTTTCTGGATTAAAAAATTTTCCGTCAAAAGTTTCACATGCCTATACATAAAACGTTAATGTACATGCGACGAGAATTTGAATTTGTAGAATTACACTTGTCCTCCGAAAATTTTAACTTTTTATCCTATCTGGTTTTCGAGCTAAAAATTTTGCGCGTGAAACTTGACGTGTCCGTTTTTAAGAAGTAAATGTACGTGAAAGGTTAATTTGGATTTCCAGGGTTGCACATTGACAGGAAACATCGTTTTAATATTACTAGAGCAATTGCAAAGCCTCGGCTGGGCCTGATCGAGAGATGAGTTGCGATGACAAGGACGGCAGGGAGAGGAAGATTGGCTAAAAGGAGCTTGGTTAGAAACAGGAAATGGAAAAGGGTTTTTTTATGCTTAGCATGAAGTTTAGTGCTGAGGAAGAGGTCGCTCTATGCATTCGTTTGCAGCTTCCGGCTCAAGAAGCAAAAATCGTATTACCGGGTTTTATTTTCAGGCGAGACTCAAGGTGACGCACTCTAAAGTGCTAACTGCTTCTTAGCATTGCGTTTCGTGCTAAGCGTAAAACGTAATCCTCTTACCCTCTGTTTCCATTTCCTACCTCCAACTATGGTCTCAACTGCTTTTAAGTCAAAATATTCACCTCTTTCCCTCCTTTACGATCTCGGTGGCCTAAAACAGCATCCCCAGTCTCATCCGCCTCGCATCTCCACTTCAGACCCCCTTCCCTCCCCCTCGCCCATTCCCAGCCCACACCCAGTCAGTCATGTAGCTCGAGCCCCGACCTGGCGGAGCCGATCCGATTTTTAAACATTTCTCCTGTTCATCTTGTCTCGTTCACGACTTTGCAACATTTCTACTAAAAATTTCACATTTCACGTACGCAAAACCTGGGCGTACCCGGAAGCCGAAATTAGTTTTTTATGCGTTTTTGCTTATATGCAAATTGCAAAAACGCATATAGTGACGACCTATGGTGTGCGTGTGTGTGTATGTTCGTGTATGTGTGTTTGTCTGTTCGGGTATTTTCAACTCGGCACCAAAGCAAGCTTCTGCACCAAATTTTTGCCTACAGGCTTCTCAGCCAATGTGCCACTCCAAGGCCGCAGCACCATCTCTCATGCAAGTCTGGGCGCCGCATACGAGAGGGTGAATGTTTTGGCGGGAAAATCGCTAACTCGAGAATTAGAAAGCTAAAAAGCTAAAATTTTGAGGGTTATGTCTCCCGTCCACCTGGAGCTCAAAGATTTTACTTCAGTCCCCAAGTATGCGTGGTTCTCTCGTACGGCCCCCTGAAAATTTTTGGCAGGGGCTAACTTGGGAACCAGAAAAGCTTGGAGGCTGAAATTCGAAGTGGATGTTCCTTGTCCCGCTACAGCATAGACAGTTAACTTCTCGGACTTCAAGAAGCTGTATGTCACACATTTTTAGCTACTGGGTTTCTGAGCAATCTCATTCCAACACGAAATACTGCAAAAACGCATGATCGCATGGGCCCGCCCGGTGCGTGTCGCCAATGATTTAGTTTTGCACGTGAGCAGGAGTAACAAAACCAAGAGTACTAAGATCGTTCGTACCATAAGTGTGGATATGTCCTGTTAGTGGTATTACAAAGATGCTTCCACACGTCGAGTGCAGCTGTGCCAGATCCTCCGGTTTTGAGCTGCACGCCTCCAGTTAGCACCCACTACCTGCTCCTTGTATGTGCGCCATCACTTCAAGTCGCTCGAGTGGTCGCTCACTTTGCCATGGGCATCATTCGCTCCTGCGCATCGTTCACCGGTTCTCGGCAAGGTGAACAACATGGACAGAAAATATTTACCTAAAATTTCAACCCTCTAGCTTTTCTACTTCCTGAGTTGTTGAATTTCCCACCAAAATTATCACCTGCTCATATGTGCGATTTACATATACGTAAAAGCTGAATTTGAAGTTCTGGGGTCGGTCATGGACGGGGATCATCTTTCTAAAATTTCAATTTCCTAATTTCTCTGGTTCTTGAATTGAAAATCTTGGACAAAACGCTCGTTGAAGCATATATACACATATATGCATACGCGCATACATACAATAAACGTTATGCATTTTGTGCAACTTTTGCAGTCATTGAAGGCACAGTTGTCAATTGCTGCTTAGGCACTCAGCTTAAGGTACCATGGTTTAAACGGTCCGATTTTACCCAGCCTTTGTTTGCAGATCCTGAATTTGTAGCAGATGAATAGATTTGCAGCTTGTTTTTCCAACAGTGTCTTGAGGATAATCAATTTGCAGGAGGTGTATCAAACCAGACCATGAAGCAACAGTATCCTCTGTTTTATGGCGATTCCTCAGACTTTCTTCAAAGGTATGAGAAATCGACTCTACAAAAGCTTGCCTTTTTCTGAAAAAAGTTAAAATAAAAGTAATAAAAAGCAGCACGCACCAGATTAGCCGGTGCTATCATGCGTTTTGTAAAAATTCGTTCACCACACGATTGTCTGTTAATGATTTTCACTGTTTTATACTTTAGCCTGCGCAAAAGTAGTCGAAA